TACAAGAAAAGAAAGGTGATATTCTGGAGTATCAGAAAATACATTTCGATTCGCTTCGATGCATAGCACCGTGTTCAAAACAAATATTTTTTGGTTGTGCTTTAGGTTTGAAAGTAATCGATATTGAAACTATCCCGTATTTCCTCTATATTCTTTTATTCTTATAGTAATGGAACGAATATTTTATCCTTTTAAGCACACATTAGTCAGGCACTTTAAACTCACTCTGAAGTGAAATAAAAACAAAAACGGTATGTTTTCTTTCCACTCAATACCTTTCTAAATTGAATTCATTAGAAAATTATTTGTACAACCGGAACAAAGATGATATTCTCAATGACTTTTTACTCTGTTATTTTGTTTTTAAACTCATTTCTGCTAGAAGAGACTTATATTAATGAGAATTTCAACAGAAAAAACTTTTATAATATTCTCAACGGGTTCATATTCAAAAAATCTCTCGTCATTTTCTGGATTAGAAGATATAAATAGTTATGAATTTTTCGATGATGATTGATAAACAGTTTGATTTCACAGATCTTCGCCGGACAAAAGTGATTCTTTGAGAATATTACTGAACAGGCTTTAAACCGATTGCATTTGTTTAAGATTTCTTAATATTTTCTTGTAATAATTCCGCTCATCTTGAGAGTTTAAGATTTCTACCGTCAAATATAGAAAGATAAGATGTATGTAGGATACGTGATAAAAACTACATGACATAACAACGTAAATATAGAGCAATAAAATAGATCAGGAGCGGCAAATTAGAAAGCTGACCAAAACACTAATTTCAACTGTTTCATCTACCGCTTTGCACACTCGAAAAATCTTTTTTCCAAATCTGTACGATAGCGTAGGACGAGCAATAGCTGAGGACGAGCGGCTGACTCGAAGCAGAAAGTAGATCTCGAAGAGGGAAGAATTTTTTGTAGTGAACCAGAACAGGGCTCTTCGAGTTTCACTCGCTCGACTTAAAAAACAACAAAATATTATCATCGACTGCCATTTTTTGGCATGCCTGTATTTTAGTGAAAAGCGTTTTTGGACTTTAACGGGCTTGTAACTAAACGCACGAAACGGGATCGGGATTAAGTGTACGGGACGAGAATGGGATAGGGATTGGAGAAAGATTTTTTCAGGGTCCAGTTTTACTGTACGGAACGGGATCGTGACCAGGGCAAAAAACTGGATCCCGCAGGGCTCTAGTATTAGCTCACTGACACATCATTCTTGAACTAAGAACTGCAAAACTACTCCTGAATGGAATCAAAATACTTGAAGTGCCTGAAATATACTCATAGTACAAGTACAAAGTTTTTGTTGAAAGTATAGAGTACAAAGTAGCAGTACCGTTCTGGGAAATTTTTCTTTTAAGAATAGATAAAGTGGAAGGTCTAGTTTCGCACGGTGTATAAGTCTGCGAAAATCGTACTTTGTATTGACGAAATAATTTTTTTAACTTAATCCAGCGATTTCCGAGAAAAATTTACATGGCGATTTTGTTGCTAATTATGACATCTAGAAAAAAACTTCCAATAGCAAAAAGATACAGCGTTTGCCGAGGTATGTCGCCTGCTATTTGAATTTATCAAAAGTCCACGTTTCGTTTTTTTACCTAAGGTCCACATGGTTGCCCACTGTGCAGTGTATAGGGTCATGATTAGCACCTATAAATCTGTATCAATAGATCGCGAACAATTATTTGCACACATATTTCGAACACATATTTGCGCAATAGTAAGGACATCCCTGTACGATTGTATCTAATTATCTCAAAGCAAAAACGACAGAGCTCTCCTGGCCTTTTTTAGGATGTTTTCTTGTTTTAGGAAAACACTATTCTCATTCAAGAACCAAACTTCAATAACAAACTAATTTAGAAAGATATAGCACTCATATTTTCTGTGATCCAGTTTTCTTTTTCTTATACTTGATTTTACACTATTCCGAGCACCTTTAGTATCCACTTCCTTTCTTGGATGAGGTTCAGTGCCATGTAGGATCCATTTATCATACTTCCGTCCGTTCACGGATAAACTGGCTTCTTTCATTTTTGATTTGTCGTCACCTATCTTCCGCGGCCTCAAACGTTTCGCATACATTTCATATATGGGTAACAAAACAGTTTATTAATGTATCTAAAACACGTCTGTCATGTACGCTAAAGGTTTTCGACATGTTTTGAATTCAGCTCTAAATGGCATGCAGTTCTACTAATGTCGCTTAGATATTCAAATATGCCACTAAGATTCTTACCCAGTTTTGAAAATATCTTAAATCATGAACTTGAAATATTGAAAAAATGTATGAAATCGACTTGCAAGACTTCGCCTAAAAATATATGTCGAATAATCAGCGCAGTCATAAACCTTTAGTAATGAAAGAGCTGTTCCAACTATCATGTACAGCGGTGAAATAACATAAGTTTGTTGTTTTCGCAACTCCACTAAAAAATCATTTTTCATCCCAAAAAAAACGAATTCTAATTATTTGGAAAACGCAGGAGATACGATGGGTAACTTTCATGAAACACGCGCATGGTTTCTCTGAGATATGAACGTATCCCGAATTAGTCGTGCGAAAAAGAAAATCAGCTAATTACTATGATTATCTTTCATGCTAGGGGCCTTCTCTATGATCTACGCGCACTTAACTTTGATTAGTCCAGAAAGCAGCTTCTTTGATCTGTTTTACGCTTATTTTACACGCTGGGCCATGCTGAATTTAATTCGAATATTTTCCGCTCAAGACACAATGTAGTTTTGCTTGTTTTTAAGTTTTATGTGATGTGCGACATCTATTCCGGTGCTCTCAAAAATTCTATCTTTGAAAATGAATTTGATTAGATATCTTAATAACTCGGTAAAACATATTATATGTTCCTCTTTCTAACGCGATTATATGTTTCTGAGCGGTATAAAAGAAAAAAGGACAAAATTTTATTACATGGTGCTTTTGTTACTTTATACGATGTCATTGTAGCTTAGCTTAACTAATGTATTTCAACTGAGCGGCTCATTTGTCTTTCAAAAATCAAATTCGTTTCGGTTCCGTTTGGTAAGCAGCCGAATCGAACCGAACCGAATGTCCTATCATTCTGTTCGTTTCGGACTCTGGTGCGCATCACTGGTGCAGATCCTATTTTTTGCAACGCCGCATCGAATATAGGATAGTGCTAAAAGAACCAATGTAGCATGCTACACCCCTCCAATAAATGACAATTTTGAAATTTTAGCTGAGAAAATTAGATAATAGTATCTGTTGTTTTTACGTTCTAACGTTGAAGGAGAAAAACACAGGAAGAGAAAAGAAAAGAGAAAAAAGACAGACACAGATACGTTATTTGATTACGCTTTTACAATGATTGTAAGTTACAATCGGCTTAATTGAATCAAAGAATGACAATAGTCTTTGATCAATTTACCAAACCGAATGTATATGCTGTCATTCGCTTTTAGTCTTTTTGAATTTGTAACTCGAAAAGCAGTGCGATAGTTCCTTCATATTCAAACCGTATATCAATAAAAATGTCTAACAAACATACCTGTCAAAAATTTTTAGAACATTTACACCCTCCCCAAACCTAGACCCTTCGCGCGGCCACTGATGGCATGCGCACCAGTGCACATCGCCGATACCAATCATCTTTTTTGCGATGCCCCATTGAATTTTTTTTGTAGGGCTGATGTCACTAGTGTACTGTGGATGGACGGACATTTATTTCATATGACAAAGCTAAATGAACTATGAATATTTTGCTACTCTAGGTGTTGTTTTATAGTTAGAAGCCTAAAGCATTTTCTATCGATCTGCTTTTGGATATTGAGTGAAATATAAATTTTAAAGATGTATTTACCAAAATGGAAAATGTCTACCTTCCCATCGACACCGCTCCTATGCTTTTAAATTTTTAAATGACGTCTTCTTGATCGGAATTCCATAAATTGTCTTTTTAAATACATCGCCGGCGTTGCAGAAAAAGTTGTGTATAAAGTTGTTGATACTACACAGAATCATCACTAGCACTCCTTTGTTGGCATATTTATACAACCATTTTCCTACTCGTTCTCAGCATTACATAAGTAAATACAAAAAATGAAATTAAGTACGCAGTTTAAAATGAGTATCTCTTTTCTTTTTCTTTATTCTGTGGGTTTTCGCAAATAAAACAAAAGTCGCACGTGTATATTTTTCATTCTTCTGTTCTTTCTCTTTAGTTCCCTTTTCTTTTAGAGTTGGTTTTTCCCCGACAGAGATATCAAACAAATAGGTCAATGAAGAATTTTGCGCACGTTGTAGTAATACATAGGGTATAAATTCGGCAGTATTTCGAACTATAATTACTTCTGATTTTGTAGGTACTCATATGTTACGGCAAAATATTTGACTTTTAACTTTCTTCGATATCATAGAGACAGAAACCATATAGCAAGATGGCGACAACGATAAGTTCCAAACCAAACATGTCCACAATTCGTGGACATGATTTTAGTATATTTTTGATTGATTTTATCCTGAGCATTGATTCCATAGATGAGAATGTGAAACAACACTGCAGGTAACGACAGTTGTGCTAAATTGGATTTTTTAAAATACCTGCAGACAATTTTAGGCGATTTCATAAACTTTTAACCGAAGAATTTGACGCTGATGAAGTTCAACTGGGGCAAAGTATGAGTTCCTTTCTTACAACGTTTTCTTCAAATCAGGCATCTCTAAATTTTCAGCGATGATATCATCAAATAATACTCTCGAAGAGATTCATTCACAGATGAAATCATCCAAATGGACGGTCGAAATTATGTGTAATGATATAATTCCTATGACTGAAGTACATAATCAACATTTTGAAAACAAAAATCTCATTGTAAGCTGGATTTACTCTTTCGTCATTAACTTTAAAAATTTTATGACTTATAGAAAGACGTACACAATATGGTATTTGTCTGTCTCGATGAAGTACAGGAAGCTAACCGTATCGCATTCAAAACCTATTTTGCTGGAAAAAGTTTTCAACTAAACGTGTCAGATATTAATCATACAGAATGGAAAAAGTTTATAAATTATTTATTTGGTAATAGTTCTAAATGTGCATAGTAATCTCTTTATATATTTGATGATTTCAGGCAAGGTACCGAAATCATACAGCGTTGAACATTATGTAAGATGTTTCGGAGAGCCTTACGCGCAGACGAGTTCATTTTTCTAATGAACCATTCTAGGCTGATGTTTATCCTTTACTGCTACATGTCAGTAGTATTAGTGCTGGTATTGTGTTCAATTATTACTACAGTTATATGATCAAACAAGCGAGGAGTATGTGAGGATCACTAATTGGCGTTTTCTACTCCACATTGTCTTTACAGCTAATAACATATCATTAAAATTCACGTTGGATCACGAAGTAATGAATGGCACGGAACCGCCTAGGAAAATTCAAATTCAACTTGTGACAGAAATTGAGAGTTTCTACATGCACCAACATGAAATACCAACTGATGGAAATGGAAACATTCAAGACCCGATGAAAACCGCACCAAATACTCTTAGATCAAGAAAACTTGATCTCCATCGGGTGCAAATAGACGGTAAAAAAGTCGTTTATGCGGCGACGTCGTTCGATTTGCCGACAAGGATCAGCGATTATGGATATAAAGTAAAAGTCCTTCTTCTTCAGAGAAACTCTGCCAGATGAAAATCTGGAAAGCGCATTCAATTAATTAAACTTGTACTGTTTTAAGGTAAGGGAGTTATATGTATGGAATCAGTTTTCAATCGCAGGTATTCAAACTATAAGTTTGCAAGATCATGTTCGTAAATGGAATGAAGAATATTCGAAAAAATGGTACAATAGATCTTATAAAGTAACTGGTTTTTGTTCTTAATATTTCTCACTTACAGCAAATCAGATGAAATCCATGTTGAAGCAGTTTACATGACGGAAAAAGATAAATCAAAGATCTGTCTACTAGTCGCAAAAGATTTTAAACTGAATGTAGATGATATGAGTAGACATGTTGAAGATGATGGCGGCAAGTACATAAAGAATAGAGAGCATTTATTGTCTGACTAAAGTTCCTAATTATAGGGATCAATACGATCAGAAAAACTCAACACGATTGTTATAAACAATTTATTAGTGATCCAAATAATTTGGTGACCAAGTGTGGAAAGCAAATTTCCAAAGTGTTGTATTCGCCAGTCTACTATATAATAGCTCCATCTTCCTGTTATTGTGGAGAGCCCGATTCAGTTAAATTGAAAGAGGAAGATAAGGATAATGTAAAAGGTATTATCAACGATCCCGACAAACCAGGAAGAATCCAATTGGCCTATGCTAATTGGTACGACAGCTATAAACAAACCTTAGACGGAAGAACTAGCATCAGAATAATTTACATTTAGTGAAGTGCTGCGCTCCCGAGAAATGGAACATTTCAATCGCTATTTGCGTCGAACATTTTACTACGTAGATGAAGAAAATGAGAAGGGTGAAATTGTTCGAGTATCTATAGTGGGTAATACTTATTATTACATTTCCAAATCCACTCTCTGATGTTTTAGTATTTATTCTGTGGTGAATACCCATACATTCTTTCCATTCTGTATCAACTGAAAGAATTGGGCGATCTGAATGATGATCAAAAACTTGACGAATATCTCCGTTATTGTAATATTTTCAAGCGTATTCTTATTGCTCATCAACTAACGGATTGTCTGAAAATGATCATGTTTGATGGCAAGTATAGAATACGGCACAGAGTAAATGTCAGAAGTGTCTCAAATACTCATTTTCAGCTGGTGGATTGTGGGATCAAATCAAAGACGATATTCTCAGTTGGTATACTCATACTACACCATCCGATATGCAAACAACAAAATCGGCAGAGGAAGATGTTACAGCGGTTAAAGTTGTACCAATAAAGCGTTTATTCAAGCTCGGAACAGCTGAACTCGAGCAAACTCGGTTATTTATCGAGTAAGTCATTTAACTTTTTCTGAAGAAAACAATTCACCCTCTTGAGTTTTAATAGAGCCCTAAAGTTCAAACTGAATGACCAGACAGGATTGAAAATAACTGATCCAGAGTTGGAAGATCGTAAGTTAACAAACACTTATAGAAAGCGAATGTTTTCAACACAGCCAGAAGTGAGACATAATTTGGCTGACAAACATGTGAAAAGAGGATGTATACCTCGATTGGGAATCGAACCGAGGATCCTCTGGTAGACGGTTCAGAAGCTCTAACCAGTGAGCTAGCGAAACAAGATCTAACATACTCGGATAGTTACAATCACTCATGTGAACTGAAAGTGTATGTTAGATCGTGCTTTGGTAGCTCACCCTAGAGAACGTACTTGATGCAAGTACTTGATTACTTGCTAAGTACTTGTCAATGATCGAAATACTTGCCTTATTGCTAAGAAGTACTTTCTGAAGTACTTGGCAAGTAAGGACAAGTACTTACAAGTAAACTTACTTGTAGAAAAGAGGCAAGTACTGGCTCCATTACGTAGACGAAGTACTTGGCCCCAAGTACGTTCTCTAGGGCAGTGGTTAGAGCTTCTGGCCTGTTATCAGAGGATCCTGCGTTCAATTCCCAATCAAGGTATACATCCTCTTTTCATAGGTTTGTCTACCAAATTATGTCTCACTTCTAGCCGTGTTAAAAAAATTCACTTTATGTACCATCAAGTTCTGCTTCACAATTCATCTGTTTATACAAACATGTTTCATTCAATTTTTTCTAATACAGCAACTGCTAGTCACGGTCGAGATTTTTCTGATATCGAACACAATGAGCAAGTAATATTCATACTAACAGCCGGTGGTCTTCGAGGGGATCTTATGCAACGGATAGCTGCAAGAAAATCAAAAACTGTGAGATTCTGCTTGACTTATAGATTTTTTTTATAGACTGGTTTCGTTTGATTTCTCCTAGCGTGGCAATTTCAAAGACGTAATTATTATGCTGAATGGCGGTCTCTCAAATGTTTCAACACGTCTATTGAGTTCCATTCCGTATTTGATGTTTGATTTAAATATGCAAAACGAGCCGAATGACGCTGATATTGTGAAAATTGTTTATTATTTAAAAAGTATGATTTAATTATATGCCATTCGCTTCATTTTGACTATGAATGACGTTTTTAGATCTCAATATAATGTCCAAATCGTACACAGAACACTTTGAAAGTATTGAAGAGCTTATGCAAGAGAAAGAAGTGGTAAGTATCGTCATAAATCAATTTTGTACGAATAGAGATTCGAACATGTGAACTATTCTAAAATTGTTAATACCTTAGGAATTCACTACTGCTGGTAAAGGAATAGCAGCGGCCTTTTATTTTAATTATGTGAAACTACTGGTACAAACGGAGGGTACGTTTTTTCCAACTACAAATTTAAATTCAATATCTCGTCTTTTCAACTAGATCATAGAAAAAGAGTTCAAACATTAAAAGAAGAACTGAATAGTTTAAATGTGACTAATAAAGATAACATATTCATTGAAAAATGGGTGTTTGTTCTACCGTGGACAACAAATGGAGCGAAACAACTTTTAGAAACTGTATGCTCATTCAAAGATAGTGGTTTTGATTTATCTGAAGTGAAAAATTTAAAGTAATATGAAAGGGAAAATAAACTACTTAGAATTTCTAAAGTAGAAGTTTCAAATTTCAGAAAGATTAGCATTAATCTGACACTTGCTGGTATTGTTGGTAGAAATTATTCGCCATTATTCGTTTACAAACTTGCAAAAAACGGGGAGAATAAAGTATGGTACTTTCGCTTCAACGCATAGAGATACTACAGTTATCCTTTCTTCAGATTTTCTATTTCCCACTGGAGATACCAGCTGCTTTCCGTGGGCTACAGAATCAATATGAAGATATTCAAGCTGAATTCCATTTTGGAAAATTTGATCCAACGAAACAAGCGCAAATATTTCAAAAAGAAGTTCAACACTATTTTGATCAGGAGACAAATACTAACTGGCACAAACACATCATACTTCTACCATTGTCGATACCTGATAATGATTTGGAGAAAGATCACACTTCAAAAGCTCTCCTTGAAATCTTATGGTCAAAATTGAACGCCTCATCTTAAAAGGCGCAATCATAACGCATACCTCATGTTCTGAATTTTGCAAAGGTGTTTTATAATCTAGAAAAATTTTGTTTGCCAGAACAGTTTTTTCTTAGTTCAAGTACGAAAATGAAAAACATGCACATTATATTGTTTCTAATCACAGTACATGCAAAACGCGTAACTCCGCTACCGGAATCTCTGTGCGTTACCGTTTTTTCTCTTTTCGTCTGTCCTACGATATTCGGAAAGAATATTGTAGAATCCTGTTTTGTAGAATGAAGTGCGTTCTTCAAAATCCACTACTAGCTCAATTCAAAATAATTGACGCTTTTTACGCCATACTTAAAATACGAAGAGCCCCTAAAACATTGTCGTTTGATTTAGGGCTTTCAGTATTTCGATTGTAACCGAAAAGTCATCAATTATTTCGAATTGAGCTAGTAATGGATATTGAAGAACGCACTTCATTCTATAAAACAAGACGCTTTCCAGGATTCTACAATATTCTTTCCGAATATTATAGGATAGACGAAAAGGGAAAAAACGGTAACGCACAGAGATTCCGGTAGCAGAGTTACAGCAGAGTTACGCGTTTTACATCAGTACAAAAATCAAAACTCCAAGTTATTAACTATCAGAAAGTCATCACCGTGTACCAAGCACGAAACGTAAGAGAAAAACTGTCGATACGTTCGTTGAAGTATCACCCGATTCTCCACCAACATTTTTTTAATAAATTTTTAACGGAACAAGATGAAGATCTGCAGTTTCCAGCATTATTAGCGTTTCTCACCATGATGGAAGCATTTCTTAGAATTGAGTCTGGAACAGGAAATGTTCCAAAGGACGGGAAACGGTTTCTCCTAGAAAATGGCCCAATATGATTCTGAGTGAAAATGATCGGAAATGCTTTCCTTTTCACCCTCACCCTCACTCTCACCTTCCGAACACCTCCCACTTTCAAAAATTCCTTCTGGTGTCTTCGAAAAAAAAGATTACTTTTCATTTTTCACTACTAGTTCAACAAAACTCAATTATCTTTTTCCTTAAATTTCTCTTCCGATTTCAAAGTCTTTGAGCAAAGCTCATACATAGTAACATAGAGAATTTTCTGCGCTTCAAAATAAGCTGTAAACGAGGTTTTCAAAATTCTGCCCATACAGGACAATTGTCGAAATACTAGGCAGATATAATCATTTTCACCTATCTTAACACTTTAAAGGAATATTTCTTGAACTCATCTACTCAGAACCGGAACGTTTTATATATAGAAAGACAGAGAATTTTCTAGGTACCAGAATAAACTACAAATAAGTCTTTCAAAAATATGCCTACATAGATAGATCAATAGTCGGAATACTTGGCCGATGTCATAAACTTCACCCGTCTTACGAGGGAACACAGGTGCCCCGCTCCGATTTCATTCGTTCATACATCATTCGATAGGGGACCTCGAGTAGGTAAAAAGCCTAAAAGGATGTGGGCCGACGGCTCTTTAAGACCCCGTTTTCTAGAAAACCAGTTTTTCAGAAACTCTAAAAAAATAACCAACACTTTCCTTAACGAGGCATGATTGTAGCCCGCGAAATTCTGATCAAAATGACACATCTCCCACCTCTACATGACCTTTCTTTGCAAAGTTATAGAATTTACGAGAAAAGCCCTAAATTAATTTCTTTTTATTTCTGCTGCTTTGAACTGACAATGAACATTTAGGGTTTTTCTTGTACACTGCATAACTATGCAAAGAAAGGTGATGTAGAGCTGGGAGATGTGTCATTTTGATCAGAATTTCGCGGGCTACAATCATGCCTCATTAAGGAAAGCGTTGGTTATTTTTTTAGAGTTTTTGAAAAACTGGTTTTCCAGAAAACGGGGTCTTAAAGAGCCGTCGGCCCACATCCTTTTAGGCTTTTTACCTACTCGAGGTCCCCTATCGAATGATGTATGTATCTCACGTATATTTTGAGATCTGATTCCACTCTCATGGCAAACCAGAATTGAAAAATATAGGTGCATACCGTTAGATCAACAGTTGATGCTAATCTTGTAGCATTCACTTTCGAATTTGATTTTTCAAAATACCTTCTGACTTAGCCATACTTCAAGAAAAACGTTTAGTTCAACTTTGTAACAATAGAAAAGGTGAAAGGTCTTCGTCACTTTCCACCAGATATGCTGTTCTGAAATAACTGTGTACTTGTTACGTGCATCATGTTCCGAAGAGAATCTTGTCGTATGTGAGATGAAGAATTTACGATCTGCGATAGAGCTTTAATGACTACAGGAAAGACAAAGATGAATGATGATGATGAAGATGAAGATCCTATCATTCCCTACTGACATATTTTCCTCTTAGTGTTTCAGCAACTACTTTTATTTATTTATTTTCTACTATAATGTAATATAAACTAAAAGGACCTAACTAAAAGCAATAAATGAAGAGAATAAAGTTGATTATACGGCCAAGGGCTTGTTTTTTGGAAGATTTGGATGATCGAAACAGAAAGTTTTCTTTCTTATGTTTTTTCGTTTCTGCAAAGGCAGGAAAATGGAAATTTTCTGCACTATAGTTTTGCTCTTTTCTGTCTAAAGCCCAACGAAACAAGGACATACAACGTGAATGCTATTTAACATTATTTATTTTCAACGGCTCTGATGACTTCTACGTCGACGATGTGGAAGCAACAAGGATCTTTCCCCTTCAGCTACTTTAATCCTTTTTCAGACTCACACTGGCAAGCTCTTTCAGCTGAACGTACAGCTTTACTTATGCGTGGAACCGAGAAACCAGTATACTTGATTTATTAGTAATGTGAGAATGAAGACGCTGAACTGTAGTACATCTTTTTTGACATTAGATTACTTTTGTCATCTCTAACCATCTAACTTCGACCTGGTCACAGTTGGAAATTTTATGGTCCAGATACGAAGATATCAACTCTTAACAGAATATGTTATTAGATCCACCGTAAAGAGATAATAACGAATCGAGTAATCAGAAATGAATATGAAAATATTTTCCCGTTTTGTTGTTCTCTTTTGTGACCAAAAGTCCGGTCTGTCTGTGTGTCGCGAAATAAAGAAAATGGAGAAAGTCGCATCTAAAAATTATGTGACAATTTAGGTAGGAATCAACAAAGTAGAAAATTATCTTCCTGGTTTTCAGACGGTTTGACGAGAGGTTAGTTCAAGTTTTTTTCTCTCTATCCTATTACTGCGCAATGTCGAACTATGAATGTTGGGGTTGCTATATTGTTTGAAGTAAGAAAAGTAGTGTTAAGATGTTGCTCAAAAACCATTTTCAGAAAATATCAATCAACTTCTGGTTTTAAAAATTTGGATTAATCTTCGCCCAACTGCTCTTTATGGGCTTAAGTTCTTTCTATCAGATAGAATACAAAACTGAAATATACAAGAAACAAAAGAGAAAAGAGAAGAAGGAAAAAGCTATAGTTGGAGAGGATTGTCTGTTTAAAACAGAATCTAAAGGCTGCGCTGGTACGGTTTTGAAACTAGAGAGCAAAATAAAAGAGAATGCCACTTCTTCTAATACTTCAGCTTGTTTCTATACCATCGAAAGAGGTTGCGCATCCGCCAAAGAAAAATTACTTGGCACCATAGGCATCTTTAGTTTAGTTACAGGCGCTGGTGTTAGCATTGTCAGTTTAGACTACTGGCGGCTTTTAGAAGGAACTGAAGCAGTTAGTAGGACCTAATTAGTACGCACACACACCCTCTCTTTTCTGCAGAAAAGTTGTCATTTTGAGCTGAACATAGTAGAGGAAACTGTAGAGGAAAGTCTGGGATATAAAATGAGACCACTCCCAGCTCTCCATGATCTTCCCTGAAAAACTTATACAGTTTTTAGGTTTTTCCTTCAAAGTCTATAAAATCTCAATTTTTTAAGTTCGTAAAGTTTTCTCTCCTTTCCTATATATTCAAAATTTTTTCTTATGACGTGAAAAGGTTTTCAAAATGAAAATCCAGTTTTTCATATGGGACTTTCAGTATTTTTCAGATATCTCGAGAAGGAAAAAGTAGTTTTCGAAAAGAAAAAAAGGGGCTTTTTCGAGAGGTTGTAATGTGTGCCAATGAAAACTGGAGTTTTCCAGAAAAACCATAGAAGAACAAGTCAGAAAATTTTAGGCAAAAATACTTCGATTTTCTTTTTTGATGTTCTATATCTGATATAAATTAGAACCCGATCCGACATCGGATTACCTAGTTTCGGATAAAAAAGTGGATAAAAAAACAAGGAGGGTACCCTTACGTATAACACGGCCGACAGCTAGGATATTTGTATTGCTATGAGTTGCGTTTCTCATGTGCGATCCGAAAAGTCGGTCTTCAGTCAAATGTAGGCTTTGCAAATAATTCACGTCTCTCTCATATACTGCGTCAGTACATCTGAGGTAGTATATGAATGAAAAAACACAAATAAGAGGTCACTCTTCACGTCTCTCTTTCATCTTATTGTTGATCGTTGTATGTTTATAAAGTATAATTAAACTAACGAGATTTGATAAAAAAAAATTGCATAGGAGTAAAACAAATGTTTACAAAAAAATAAAAACTATCACATCATGTTATTAATGAAGATAAAAAATCTATTTGTGAGATTGTTGAACAATTATTATTAGATGAAAAATCTTCTAATTGATTCCATTGTTCAAAAAAATTAAATTTCGACAGATTCAAATATATTATTTGTGTTATTTTCAGATTGATTAAAAAGTTCAGAAAAATATATTTGTATGTTTTGTTCTTGATCATTTATGATTGATGATAGTCCTTTCATATCATTGATCGATGAAGAATACATGTTATCAAATGGTGCTGGTACCGTCAAAGGAGAACTGACTGGTATAAAACTATTGAATTTTAGCGGTAAAGGAGAGGATGAAGTTGTTACAAATATTGCTTCGATGATATTGTAGAAGTTAAATTGAATGCACCGTTAGTAGTAAAATAAAAAATACATTTCTTTTTTAAAATCACCACCATTCCAATATTCC